ACTTTACAGCCTGTCTGCTCTGATTTAGAATGGTATGTAATTTTTTACCCTGTTTCTTTCCTCAAGTTTGAAATCATCCCAAGCTGCCTGAGAAGATACTTAGAAGCATTGTTTTTGACATCTCAGGCACAGATGGCAGAGCTGCCCCCAGATGACACAGCTGATCAGAAACTGTTTGTGCAAAATTTCCCCATTGCCCACCATGTTGGAGAAGCAGGTTACAGAGACCAAGGGTGGCACCATTGACTGGACAGTATAGAAACTCTTCGCAAGCTGTTGGTCCCTGCTTGACAGGGAATTTTGCCTAAGCTGAACTGGTCTCCTTTTTTTTCTTGGAGGGTAGGAAAGGAAAGATGGATCAATTTCCCTCCTTTCTCTTGAACCTAAGCCAGCCATGCTTGCTTTGCTTCGAAGAAAGTAACACGAACTGCCTGAGGTTTGTGGTGTTTCCAGGTCTGGATGGGGAGTAAAGAATTAGTCTATAAAAGGGGACAGATTAACAATACATTGGATTTTAAATTCAAATATGTAGAGCCAGGGTCTGTTTGATGTAAGATGATGAAATGAAAGACTATTGTCGGCAGCCTTAGAGTCCTCGCTTTCTGTCTTCATTCCCCCTTCTCTTCTCCTCGTAACCTAGCAATATCTACTTTAGCTTGACTAGCTTGAGTACCTACTGTGTGCCAAGTCCATGGTGCTAGAAATAAGACAGAAGTGGAAGTTAGGAGAAAAATTTTCTGGAAAGATCACTCCAACAAAATACGGTGAACGCTATAATAGAGGTGTTCAGAATGTGCTTTGAGAGCACAGATACGGAGCTCAGGGAAGGCTTCCTAGAGGAGGTGATGTTTGAGCCAAATTTTGAAGGTTACATAGAAGTCAGCCAAGCACTGGCTTCAAGTTCAAGGCTCTGCACTTCAAAATGCCACCAGAACCAGCAGCTTTAGACTATTCTCAGTCTCAAGCAAAATATCCTATCATGTAAATTCACCTGCTGTTTTCTCAGAACCATTTCAGAAACCATTGCTGTTTTCAAAGAACTAACTTTGTTTTAGTATTCTTGCATTCAAATGATTTGAGGTAAGGTGTTTCCAACTGTTGGCAGCTACCATACAGCACTTCCCTTTTAACAAGCTCTTAATCCCCTTAACCCACCTAGCCTGGGAGCACTTCTGCTAGGGGAACTTAACTAGCATACCTGCATCCTCAGCCCATTATTTGGCCTATCTGCCAAATAATATGGTGGAATTCATTTAAAGAGACCCACAGAAGCCATTAAATATCACTTTTAAAATGGGATTCTATAAAAGTCAACCTGCTAATGTTTGTTCCCTCACCTCAGCACGCACCCCTCGCCCACCATTCCAAAGCTCCATACACACAAGCCTCCCTTTTAACTTCTTCCCTTTTGATATCTTTTTGTCCTGATTCAAGCCTAGAGAAGGACCAAAGTACAATGCAGAAGGGGGCAGACTCTAATCTGCAAGCTGTGTCCTGCTGTCCCACCTGAGAGCAACTGGGACCCCTCATTCTTCACAGCTCTCTGGGCATCATCTGCAGTAGCCTCTGCCCATGTAGTAACAAAAGCTGCTGTTTTGTGACTGTCTTTGTCATGTCAGGTGCTACATTAAGCACCTGGTCTGCATTAAACCACTTCATTCTCACAACAACTCTATAACCTCATCAGAGAAACCTAGTAGTAATTTGTTTAAGGGCAAGTTAACGGCAGGTACGTATATGCTATTTGAACGCAAAGAGTCTGGCTGTTGGACCCACACAGCAGATACATCCCAACCACTTGTCAGGATGAAGAGTACAGCTAGTGCTTGAACTACGACCACGATTGGTTCCGACAGACCGGTCGTAACACGATTTGGTCGTAAGTTGAGTAGGCTATATGTACAGTATTGTGAAATGATGTTATAAAAATCTTTAAGTCATATTTTATCATAATTTTCTTTGTTCATTTTATGCCATTTGTATCATCTCTACACCATTTTGTTTCTTATTTTTACATTCATCAGGTTTAAGTAAAACACTGCATTACCAGTACAACTGGTTTAATATTTGCAAAACATAGAAAATTACAAAATATAGGTGCATACAAAAATACAAAATACAGGTGTAAAAAATACCATAGGAAACTTTTCCCAATTGCAAAACATATCAAAATATATAAACATGTACGAAACATTTTATTGGCCGCTGGTGCTTGGCTGCGGATCGTTGATGTCGTCATCTGAGGCAGCAGTTGGGGTTACCGGAGTTGGTTTTTTCATAAACATGGTGAGCTTTGTCTGAATTGTATGTTTCTTTTTTTCTTCATAAATTTCATGATACGGACAAAACACATCGTGCGCCATCCGTTCAATCCTTGCAAATCGTTCGATGTTTGGGTCCATTGCTTCGAAATGTATAAGAAGTTTATTGGGAGGGGTTTGATGAAAAATATCCAAGACACAAAACACAAATTGCTGTACCGAGTCTGGGATAACAGTTGAAATGGTGCACGTGGAGATGGTAGTGCTGCCGGAAGCTGGTCCACACTGTCGTACGCCCAGCTGGGCAACATTTGCACTGCCGGACGCGGAGCAGTAGTGGCTAGCGATTGTGGTTGTAAAGTCGAATGGTCGTAAGTTGCATGGGTCGTAAGTCGATCAATACCTGTAGAGTCTTCAGGGCCTCAGAGTAGAGTTTGAATCTCAGCTCTGCCACTTACTTAGGTGAATGACACTAGGCAAGTTATTTATTCCCTCCAAACTTCAGTACCCTCATCTGGAAAATGGGATGAGTAATAGAACCACCTCATATGGTTATGGAGGGATAAATGATGCTGTCTTGCATGTAGAGAACTTGGCATGGGGCCTAGTATTTTGTGGGTGTTCAAACATGTTAGCTATTGCTATGATTACATATTTACAAATCTGTCTATCCCCTCACAAACCATCTTATTAACCATGCCATCGAGGGCAGGGATCAAGCTTATTAGTATCTTTCTCCCTAGGTGCCCAACTGAGTGCCTTGGAAGTGTTTGTTGAACGGATGGTTCAACAGCACTGTTTTTCTCTGCTATTTCAAACGATCAAGTATGGCTCTCCTCTATTTTGACACAAAATAGCCTCTTCTTGCTAAATTCTATTCCTTAACATTCAGAAATGAATTTTCAAGTGTTTAAAGAGATTACTCTAGAATTCTTAAATTAGAAGAATTGTATGAGTTTTTTTTTCTTGTCTCTAGCAAATGAGTGAAAATCGGCCTCCTTCCCTTTCCCAAATCTTCTTGAACTCTCAGAAGGAGATACTTTGCTTTTCAGGAAGCCCTCACTTTCACAAGCATAGAGATGGAACTTCCAAAATAAAAAATACCTAGGTTGGGACGGGGTGGATTTTCACTTTATAAGGAGATTTCTACTTTCTTGAAATTTCAATGATCTCTTCAAACTTCACTTTCTCCTAGAGAAGTCAGGAAAAATTTAGCTCCCCTGAAATACTTCCAAGTGCATTCTTTTCCTAAAATGAGGGACACTCCTATTGAACAGGTAGTTTCTCACAGCACTTTCTTTGCTCTCAGATACCCCTGTAACACTGTCCACCACACAACCTACACCTGCCCTTGCTCCACCTGAAGAGCGCATTCCTCCTGCTATACACGCCAAGCACAGTCCTAGCCAACATCGGCTACCTGCCATCAAAATCTCCACTTCACCCATCCCTGTGGCTGGGCTCACTAGACCATCCAGCAAGCATCCTGCTCAGTCAAGTGTGTTTTCAAGGGCTGCTGTAAGAAAGCACCACAAACTAAGTTGGGCGCGGTGGCTTACTCCTGTAATCCCAGCACTTTGGGAGGCTGAGATGGGCAGATCACTTGAGGTCAGGAGTTTGAGGCCAGCCTGGCCAACATGGTGAAAACCTCTCTCTAATAAAAATACAAAATATTTGCTGGGCTTGGTGGCATGTGCCTATAATCCCAGCTACTTGGGAGGCTGAGGCAGAAGAATCACTTGAATCTGGGAGATGGAGGTTGCAATGAGCCCAGACCATACCGCTGCACTCCAGCCTGGGCAACAGAGCAAGACTCCATCTCAAAAAAAAAAAAAAAAAAAAAAAAGACCACAAACTAGGTGGCTTAAAACAACAGAAGTTTATTCTTTCCAAATCCTGGAGGCTAGAAGTTTGAAATCAAGGTGTTGCCCAAGCCATGCCTCCTCTGAAGGCCCTAGGGGAGAATCCTCCCATGCCTCCCCAGCTTCTAGTGGTTGCCAGCAAACTTTGTCGTTCCTTGGCTTGTAGATGCTTCACTCCTAGTTCTGCTGCTGTCTTCAGATGGTCTGATTCCTTGTGAGTCTATGTCTGCAGCCTAATTTCCTTTTTCTTATAAGGATATCAGTCATACTGAAGTGAAGCCTCACCCTAGTCCAATATGATCTCATCTTAACTTGATTATATCTGCAGTAGCCCTATTTCCAAATAAGATCACATTTACAGATTCCAGCATGAATTTTGGGAGGACACTATTTCAGCCCAGTGAGAAAGAGATCAGCATGAGTAGAGAGACTCAGCAGTGACCTATGGGGTATGACATAGAGGGTCTCAGGATGAAAATCCTTCTCCTGCTCCATAAGGAAAAGTGCCATAATGCCTAAATCCCACCATTAAAGAGACTTTCCTTTGGCTCTCAATGCCTTTTTAGTACCGAATAAAAGCAAATAAAAACCTGTAATAATCCAAATGCTGTCTGGAGGAATGACATTCATAAATCACTATCATATCACGCTTGAGTGGTCATCAGTCCCTTTTTGAACATGACAGCTAGCAGAAGTGAGGTTCTGTTGGAAGGAGGCCTGAAATCTGTGTTTAGAATGAAACAGGTGGCACGGGAAACCTTGGTAATAAGGTACCAAGAGTAGACATGCCTTAGTGCCTGCTTTGGTAAGCTACCATATCCCAGGGAGCCCAGAGCCAGGCCAGGCATTATGAGGGAGCAGGAGGGAGCAGAGTGCATGTGTACTCCAGTTCATATTTATTAAGCACCTATTGTATGACAGAGGCCATGCTTGGTGCTTCTATAAACATTATCTCATTCAGTCTTTACAGCAACCTCATGAACATATCATCCCGCAATTCACAGATGAGAAAACTAAGCCTCAGGGGAGTTAGGTGGCTTGGAAAAGGTTAGGAAATGAGCAGTAATGACCAAGTTCAAGTTCAGATACTGACCTATTTTCCCACGTCACAGAAAAGAGGCAATAGAATCCAAGGTTTTCAGTTTCACTTCTGCTGGAAGCTAGTCCAGCCTGAAGCCCTCTTGCTGTACATTCGAGTTTGCTCTTCTTAACTTCCGGTTTGAAATTGGCAGCCGTTTTCTACTGTGTTTCCAATGTGCCTCTGTGTGTATCTTGGAGAGAGGAAAAAAGAGAATATATGGGTCAATATAAGCAGACTCTTAAAAGCTTATACTTTATCATTGTAATAATCATAATATATTTTACTTTACAGCCACTCATAACTGAAGCCTCTGGGCACCCTAACAAAAATAGCTAAAAGAAAAAAAGAAATTATATTAAACAAAGGAAATACGACTGTAAAACCCCAAAAGCCAGGGAACTAAATGAACAACATAAAACCTCCAAACAACAAAACTACAATGAAATCAAGAGGGGGGAAAAAAACCTTTTCATGAGCTTTACCCTGAAGAATTCCACACTGTGAGATCACATCTGTTTAAAGCACCATAATTTATCGATATGACATCAAACCAGGAACCAGCCATTGTAAACCTTTCCCGCAGAAACTCTCAGAAAACTAACCAGGTGGTTGATCGGTGGTGGGGGTGGCGGGGTCTGTAGCACATAGCTAGGGCAACAATGGCTTTAAAATTTTATGTTCAAATACATCTATGTGAAGTTCCAAATCATGTTACTGAGATGCAAAAAAAATAGTTCATACCATGGGTAAGCAGAATTTACAAACAGGGCTTTTTTAACAACATTTTTTTTTTCTGAGACAGTCCATCCTTGAGTACTCACTGATGACTTCTCAAAGTGCTGCTAAATGGGCCATTTTCAAGAATGGATCCTCTTCAGAACTAGCCACTGAGTCTCAAATACTGTGAAAGGCTTTGGGAGGATAAAAGCCCTTTCATTTATAAAGCAACCAAGTTACTCAGCCTATCCTCCCGTTCTGATGTTGCAGCCATTTCACAAACAGAAATTCCTGTTGATCCATGATACCACCATAAACCTTTGTGTAGGAACCACTGTGATTGCCATATTCATGTTTGTGAGGGCAATATTTCCCCCAAGCAATTGCTCCCCATATCCCTCCTACACACTTTCCTGTTAAATATGGGAAGCAGACCCTGCTGGAGAAAAATCTTTAAAAGATTTGAAAGGCTACGACAGCCCAAGCGTTTATAAAACTACCTGGTTAGCAAAATGAAATAAAATATTTAAAATGCTGAAAGACACCCCCTGACTGTGTAAAATGTTTTTTCAAAATGTTCATCCTCAAGTACTTCCTAGGTCAGTATAGATCTGGCCCCAGGAATTAGGACACTCATGGCAGAAACCTCAAGCCTAATGTAGCTTCTAAAGCAAAGCAGGTGAGAGGATAGTGCAGAGAAGTGAAAGAAGGCAGTCTTGAAAGGAAACCTGATGATATGGGAGGAGCCAGGCATGCAGGAGAATCAGCCCAGTTTGGGCTCTCACCCATGCTCTACTGCTTAGTAGCTGGAAAACCTTGAGTAAGTCAGTTAATCTTCCTGGATCTGTGTTTTATCATCTATGAAAAGCAGAGAAAATGCTAAGCAAACTCTGCTCTTTTTATTTTATGGAAGCCCAGGCAGTTCTTCAGAGGAATGACCCCTATTTCCATAGAACATGGCCAGCTCTCAGATACGGCATTCAGTTAAAAGAACAAGCCATGGAATGACACACACTGGGTGACACCATTCACCTTTGGGGAAAAGAACCCACCCTGACAACTCTGGATGATTTCTACAGGCCCCTGGATGTACGTGTAAGAGTACACAAAACTGTAGGCTGAGGCGCACAGGCCAAGGCACAAGGGTGGACTCTTCTGGAAGCAGATCTGAACTAGGTCAGGGCAAGTGAAGAGAATATATTTATATATTGCTTATGCAAGAGAGAAGAGAACTTTTATGTGGTCAGTAAAAACATCATCTAGCTTGTTTCAGGGAATAATTATAGAAATTCTAGAAAAGTCTCCGCCAGTCAATAATTAAGAGCTGGGATTATCATGAGTCCAAAACTTGGAGAACCCAGGGTTCAGGATGACGTGAGTATGCTACCTTACCGAGCTGGGCTCAAAACCTACTTGAAATGTAAGGCACAATGTGTAAAATGGAGTTGCAGCTGAGACTAGGGGAACCCTGGGTGGGAGGAAAGGCTGAGGGGGTCCCCTCTGCCCCAGCATGTCAACCAGAGAGCCTCTTGGCAAGCCATCCACTATGTACCTACCAGGCATGGGACACACACTTTCATCAACACCCCAAACCAGTTACTGGGAGCACTAATATGATTAATGGTACCCTCCACCCCACCCCCATATTGACCAAGGCATAGAACTTTTGGTTCTTCTCACTTGGAACTGTCCAGGCAGAGCCATGTTGATCTGGAAGAGTTCAGAGCTAGGACCCAGACTTCCCATTGCCCTCATTCATTTTGATGAGCTCTTCGGCATTGCTCAATTTAAGCAAAAAAGAGCTTCCATGGGCCTTCCTGGAAATATCCCAAAGACATTTCTTTTCTATATACCGGTGTTAAAGGTATCACTAGCACACAAGCAGAGGAGAAAATGAAATGACCTCTGGCAGCCTGAGATAGTCTAGTGCTCAAAATGTCCCTCTTAACTTTAGATATAGATGGAAAATCAAAGTAAACATGTATTTAAAAGTAGGTTACTTATGTCTTTAACTGACTATTTTATTTAGATGGGCCAATCACAGCAGGAAGTCTATAGAAGATGACTGGGAACATCACTTGGAATTTACACCAAAATGATCGTGATGTTTTCTTCCATAAGCAACTTGAAAAAAATACACTCAACCATGTAAAGTAGACAGTAATCCAGGATCCATGCTCCATTTTTAGCAAAGGCTATCAAGCTCTGAAATGCAAGAATATCAGGAGGAAAGGCAAATTGCCCCTTTTTTGTTCATTTCATTTTGCATAAGTCAAATCCCAGATAAAGCCTCCTACTGGGAGGAGGTGCTAACGGGTGAGCAGAGAGGCTGGTGGCATGTATGGCTATGAGCTCAACCACTCCAGAAGTCAGACTCCACACAGAAAGATTATTTTAAAAGAAAAAAAAAGGAGAGAGATCCAAGATGGCTGATCACTAGCAGCTCAGGATTGTAGCTCCCAGTGAAAGCGCAGAGAATGAGAGGATGCCACACTTTCAGATGAATTTTTGTTGCTCACACACCAGGAGATTCCCAGCGGAGGAACCCCATGGGTCGCCAGCGTGACTCTTGTGGCTGGCAAGGCGGTTTTGCCGCTGCCTTCGTACGGCGGTTCTTGGTGCAGAGTCAGAAAAGCACCATCAAAAAGCACCGCTGTTTCAGCTGGCAGTGGGTTGCTCAGATTTTAGCGCTGGGCATCAACAAGTTGGACGTCCACTCAGAAACCCACTTATAAAGACGGTAATTATAAAGACCACAGATGGATAAATTTATAATGAAGGGAAGAAAACAGCCTAAAAAGGCTGAGAATATCCAAAATCAGAATGCCTCTCCCTCTACAGAGGATCACAGTTCCTCATCAGCAACGGAACAAGGCCTGATGGAGAATGAGTGTGTTCCATTAACAGAAGCAGCCTTCAAAAGGTGGATAAGAAACTTCTGTGAATTAAAAGAACTTGTTCTAACCCAATGCAAAGAAACTAAGAACTTTGAAAAAAGGTTTGACAAAATGTTAACAAAAATACACAATTTAGAGAGGAATGTAAGTGAATTAATGGAGCTGAAAAACACAACACGAGAACTTCTCAAAGTATGCACAAGTTTTAACAGCTGAATTGATCAAGCAGTAGAAAAGATATCAGAAGTCAAAGACCAACTTAATGAAATAAAACAAGATGACAAGATTAGAGAAAAAAGGATAAAAAGGAATGAGCAAAGTCTCCAAGAAATATGGGACTATGTGAAAAGAACTAATCTACGCTTGATAGGTGTACCTGAATGTGACGAAGAGAATCAATCCAAGCTGGAAAATACTCTTCAGGATATTATTCAGGAAAACTTTCCCAACCTAGCAAGGTAGGCCAATATTCAACTCCAGGTAATACAGACAACACCACAAAGATATTCCTCAAGAAGACCAACCTCAAGGCACATAATCACCAGATTCACCAGGGTTGAAATGAAGGAGAAAATACTGAGGGCAGCCAGAGAGAAAGGTCAGGTTACCCATAAAAGGAAGCCTATCAGACTCACAGCAGATCTCTCAGCAGAAGCCCTACAAGCCGGAAGAGAGTGGGGGCCAATATTCAACATCCTTAAAGAAAAGAACTTTCAACCCAGAATTTTACATCCAGCCAAACTAAGCATCATAAGCGAAGGAAAAATAAAATACTTTGTGAACAAGCAAGCACTCAGAGATTTCGTCACCACCAGGCCTGCTTTACAAGAGCTTCTGAAAGAACCACTACACATGGAAAGGAACAACCAGCCTTTGTAAAAAATACCAAAAAGTAAAGATCATCAACATAATCAAGAATTTACATCAACTAATAGGCAAAACAGCCAGCTAACATTAAATGGCAGTATTAAACTCACATATATTATTATTAGTTCTAAATTTAAATCGACTAAATCCCCCAATCGAAAGACACAAACAGGCAAAAATAGCCAAAACCCATTGGTATGCTGCATCCAGACCCATCTCACATGCAAGGATACACAAAGACTCAAAACAAAGGAATGGAGAAAGATTTTTGCCAACCAAACGGAGAGAAAAATAAATAAATAAATAAAAAGCAGGAGTTGCTTTAAAGCAACAAAGATCAAAAGAAGCAAAAAAGGATATTACATAATGATAAAAGGATCAATGCAACAAGAAGAGCTAACGATCCTAAATATATACTCACCCAATACAGGAATACCCAGATACATAAGACTTATAAAGAGACTTAGACTCCCACACAATAATAGTGGGAGACTTCAACATCAATATTAGACAGATCAATGAGACAGAAAATTAACAACGATATCCAGGATTTGAACTCAGATCTGGAACAAGAAAACTTAATTAACATTTATAGAACTCTCCACTTTAAATACACAAAATATACACTCTTATCAGTACCACATCACATCTATTTACAGGTTTAAATGAAATATTGGTTGGCTGCTTGTTTGTTATTTTCTTCCCTCAT